GCCGGCAGAACCCGTCCAGGGAAATGTTTCCGCCTCTACACGGAGAAGGCCTACAAAACTGAGATGCAGGCAAGTCACAACCGTTTCACTCGTTTATTCACTTGAGATTTAGAAGTCTATAAAAACAAAACATGAGTTAGTTAAGCCTGTTCTTAGAATGAATACACATTGTTAACATATTCAAGATTATATTTTGTTTATTAAAACGTTCACACCCCCACTCCAGGATAACACATACCCTGAGATTCTTCGATCCAACTTGGGATCTGTTGTGCTGCAGCTGAAAAAGCTGGGAATCGATGACCTTGTGCACTTTGACTTCATGGACCCCCCAGGTGAGTTGGTCTGCATTTCAGATATAATGATTCAAACATTTATTGAATCTCTACTCTGGCATCACTCTCTGAGCTTTCGGCCGGCCTCTTCCCTTCCTGCAGCTCCAGAGACGCTGATGAGGGCCCTCGAGCTGCTGAATTACCTGGCAGCTCTCAATGATGACGGCGACCTGACGGAGCTGGGCTCCATGATGGCCGAGTTCCCTTTGGACCCCCAGCTGGCTAAGATGGTCATTGCCAGCTGCGAGTTTAACTGCTCTAACGAGATCCTTTCCATTACTGCCATGCTGTCAGGTAATGCCCAGGTCTGGGCTGAAGTCTTCCTTGCCTTCTGTAGGCCGAGTCTCTTGCGGTTAAACGTAGTACTACTCGTGGGTAGTTTTGGGGAAAAGTGTCCTGCCTATAATCAAGATTGTGAATCAAGGCAGTTTAAAACATTTTTAATACCCATGTCAATCTTGATGAGGTAGCTGAAGCACTTCAGTCGTCACCTTTTAATGTGACGCATACAGATGGTTGTATCCATATGTAAGAAACGGCAAGAAAAAGGCCTAGAACAAAGTTTACACAAATATTTTAATTAGTGATAAGAAAATACTGTATAATAATATATTGTACTTCAAATAATCATTATTTTATCTAATAATTATTAATAATATTATCTGCAACAATACCATTTTCTTTCATAACCATGCAGCAGGCATTTGATTTCACAAAGTGAAGTCGCTACAGGTTAACTCCAAAACTTTGTTGACTTCTAATAGTTTCAGCACTAAGAGGTGGATAGGGCAGGCACCACATCATATTTTATTCATATGAATCGCATTTATCCGAGTTTTTTTTCATTGAAGTAATGCATTGTGAATTGTAATTTCTGTCGTTATATATAGATATAATTTAGCCTGGAAGTATTTTTATTATGTGCTCTCTTAAAGACCTAGCATTATGTCTAGAATCGAAAAAGTAACATTTCTGAATCGTGAAAAGTAAAAGCATTGCTGGTGTACCTAACACTTTGTAGTTGTGTGAAAACTCTTGTTTTACAGATGTGGTTAAATGATCCCCTCTCTACGAGCTAATAGCCCTTACAGTTGGAATGACCATGAGAAAAGACTGCAGCCCCCTTTGATAGAGCTTGTGGTCCTGCCCTGTCCCAACGCAGTGTCGAGTGCCCTAGCATCATAGGCTTTGCTCCATGTTTCTGTGAATATTTGACTCATCCCTATGGGCGGCTTTGTTGGGGCCTATACCAACCTTGTTTAGTCCCACAGTGTTTTGTCCGGCCCACGGAGGCTAAGAAGGCGGCAGACGAGTCCAAGATGAGGTTTGCTCACATCGACGGAGATCACTTGACGCTGCTCAACGTCTACCACGCCTTCAAACAAAGTGAGCGTCACTCCCTTCTGAGACGTGTATTTTCAGATTGAAATAAGGATTTGTGTCTGAAAGAACTGACCTTGTCAAAAATGATGACATTGGCTCTATGAATATGCAAAAACGTTTTATTTGAGAAGTTGATCTTGAAAGCTATCTTGAGATGTCTCCAGTCATTCTCCTATATACTGTTGAGGCTTTAAATGTCAACATCAAACTGGTTTAGGTACCAGTAGCCCGTGGTGATGTCACAAAACCAAACGTTGCAAAAGCAGCATTCGGTGAAAAGTGAAACACCCACTCGAAGTAAAGATAAGCAGTTAACTTTGGAGAGTTCTGCCAAATGTGTCTTTCTGTCATGTTGCACTACTGTAACACTTTAATTTGGTCCAGCCAAGTCACGAGTTAAATGTTTCCTGGATTCATAGATGCTCCACTTTTCGTTACATCTTGTCTCTTACTTTGTCCACTTTTTATTGCTGGGCAGGTTGCAGGTTTGTAAGACCCTCTACACCAGGGGTGTCAAACTCAAGGCCTGGGGGCCTAATCCGGCCCGTGACTTGGTTTTTCTGTGGCCCCACAAAAGCTTGCAAAGATTATATGTTTATTATACGGTACATGATGATTTACAGAAGCACGTTGCCCATAAACATGGGCACAATGTCCCACATGTCCACATGTCCCACAATGCATCTCAAATTAGACTTTTCTTTCCTCAGAATTTGGCTTTTTCTCTTCTAAATATGCGTTTTTTCTTAGAATGTGCCCTTTTCTCAGAATTTGACTCTGTTTTTTTTTTAAATATGAAAGGTGACAGTAGATATAGATAGTTGTAATTTGGTATATATAAAAAAAAAAAAATTATAATAAGAAGAAAGAAATTATATATATATATTTTTGTTGGGCGGGCGCGCAGCGCCCCTCCAAGACAATGGTAGGGGAAACACTGAATCAATAAATACATTTATTCTATATATATTTATTAAGACCCTCCAGAAAAACGGCGGGCACAAATCCTTTTATTATGCGATTAAACATGCCAGGGTTTTTATGTGCTGATTTTTATGCTGTGAAATTGCGGGAATTGCGAAATATCGGAAAGTTGCGAAATATGCTAAATATGCGGGGAAAAAGAATAAAATTTTTTAAAATATTGGCTGTCTTATTTATTCTCTCTCACACACAACCTGCCACTAACGTTAACCCCTTTACTATTCAATTTAAACACATTCAATGTTTATTTTATGTGTAAAAAGCAATTGGGCTTTTTTTAATCTCACACACACACACACACACACACACACAACACACACACACACACACACACACACACACCACACACACACACACACACACCACACACACACACACAACACACACACACACACACACCACACACACACACACACACACACACACACACACACGACACACACACACACACACACACACACACACACACACACACTTCTCCGCCGTCATTCTGTTTTCAATTTGAACTCGTTCGTTATCTGACCAGCTTCAATCTTGTAGGCTCACTCATTTCGTTTCTTGTAGCCCTCGAAAGGGTTTTGAGTGTGATGCCTCGCTGAACGTGAGTTGTTTGGACTTGTCTTTGTCGCAGCAGGCCCCCCCCCAAAGAAAAAAAGCATTTCGAATGTTTCGAATTAATCAAAGTGGGTCACCCCGTCGATTTTCTCTTATGCTCCCAAACACACAGTTGCAGCGGGGTGGCAGGAATAGTTTCCCCCAACTTTTTGCCCGGCTTTAGTAGAAACTGTTCGTCGGTAAATTAGATTGGATTAGATTTTTTCAATCTTGGATGTTTTCTCTATCGTGTGAGCTCCAACACGTTCACTCCATACAGGTGTTGTTTACCATTCTGTGATGCGCGAGCCTGATGAACGTCACGTAAGACGAGTCAACTTTTTTTTTCTCAATTTGTGTGGAACAGAATGCGGGGATTATGCGGCCTTTTTGATAAATATGCGGCCTTTTAAAAATCTGCGGCATTTTGCTGATTATGCGGTAAATTCTGCGATCGCAGAATCGCGTTTTTTCCTGGAGGGTCTAATTTATATATACAGTTACAACCGGCCCTTTGAGTGCAGCCATAATGCTGATGTGGCCCGCGATTAAATTGAGTTTGACACCCCTGCTCTCCACTGAAAGAACTGTTGAGAAGTTTTATTATGTTGTGTATCTTGCACCATTGACTGTAAATGTGGATGATAGTTCTCAGTAGCATATGTCATTTTAAGCGACTCCTTTTACATTACACACAACAATTTAATGAATTGTTAATAATACAAATATAAATATGATTATATATATTATGATTACTTAATCAAATGTCTGAATACTTGTCATTCTTTTTTTTCAGACCACGAGGCCAACCAGTGGTGCTATGATAACTTTGTCAACTACCGCTCACTGATGTCAGCTGACAACGTGCGCCAGCAGCTGTCCAGGATCATGGACCGCTTCAACCTGCCGCGCCGGAGCACAGAGTTCACCAGCAGAGATTATTACACCAACATCCGCAGGGCGCTCTGCACCGGCTTCTTCATGCAGGTGAACACCAATCAGGACATGTTTAAGTAGCTCTGTGATAGGATGCTGATCAAATGAGATATTTCACAATGTGTTACAGGATATAACTGAAGAGTGTACCATAGATGTTTGTGGAATTCTTCTATACATTGGATTGAATCTGTTTTTTGTATCCACCAGGTGGCTCATTTGGAGCGCACAGGTCATTACCTCACTGTCAAAGACAACCAAGTGGTCCAACTCCATCCCTCCACAGTCCTGGACCACAAGCCCGAGTGGGTGCTCTATAATGAATTTGTCCTGACCACCAAAAACTACATTCGCACTTGCTCAGACATCAAACCAGAGTGGTATGTGCAGTCATTTTTCTAGTAATACATATTCATAAGACAATTTCTTTTAATAGAATATGGTTCGCACATGATCTCCTGACAGATTTCCTTCTTTCTTCTCTTACAGGTTGGTGAAGATTGCCCCTCAGTACTATGAAATGGGTAACTTCCCCCAATGTGAAGCTAAAAGACAGCTGGAGCGAATCATTGCCAAACTAGATAGCAAGGAGTATTCCCAGTACTGAGCGACAGCCAATAAGTGTCCTGGAAAACAACTGCATCCTTTAGTTTTAGATTTTCTTGTATCATTGTATCTTCATGTTGACATTTGGCATTTTGATTTTTATATTTTGTTTTATTTTGTTTTTTGTTTGTTTTTTCCATCGATGTTGGTTTTGTTTTTTTTCCCCATCAATGTTAATTCTGTAACTAAGTGTAATGTCAGATGAAATATCAGCAGAAAATATTAGACCTGGCTATTAAGATTTTCAAAAGGAATATCAGAAACATGTCATTTAGATGTGGTTGACTTTCCTTAAGAGGATTGCCGAGTCATAAAAACAATTGTGCTTGCTTTGTTTCTTTAATAAAGAAGCTTTGACTTAATCTCTGCGTACATATTCATTAGTAAAGCCTTGCAAAAGTAGTGTGGTTCCTATCTTCTTGTGATAAGATACTGATTAAGTAGGTAAACTCATAATTTGCTTGATTATAAATATATAAACAGGAGTTTAGGCTTGCTCAGATAAACCAACACATTTCATTTATTTCAGTATGATTAATACTGTTTTTTCAGTGGTTACTTTATTAAAGTTCAACTATTGTTTTGTGCATTACCTTACATGGAACTTATGATATACAGGTAAAATGGTGACAACTTTTTGTGGTTTGAGTGTTCAGGAATTCATTATGGCTACATTTTTAATCACAACTGTAAATAAATCAAATATTTAAATCACCTTTAAACATTGATACCCATCCTGAGGTCTGGGGCCCCAAAAGGATCCTGTGATTAAAAACTTTGGGATTTAAGAATCTACAACAAGATATTATATTGACTTAATTATTTTATTATCAACTGTCAATAGACCTTATTTTAGTTTTGCTCCTAACACAGAGCTTAATCTCCAGATGGTTTTCCTCACACCTCCCCAAGTTTACTCACAACCAACCAAAATGTATCTGAAGATAATTATACTAATATATATCACTTTATTTCTACGCTTTTCTCCAGTGACTTTTCAATACCACTGCTTTCAATGTCCTCGATCGTCTCTGGCAGGCACCGGTTTCGTGTCTCGGGCAGCGCTCTTGCCACTATCCCCCCAAGTACTGCCACAGAGAAAAGGACGACCTGAGGCAGCTCCTTCCACACCTCATCCAGTAAGAGAATCAAAGGTGACACAGCTACACCCAGCCGAGCCATGAAGGAGTTGTAACCCATACCGTTCTGCCTGAAAAAACAGATAGGAGACCAACGTTAGGGCCCTAAATGCTGATTTAATTAAGGCAGAAAAAGTTGATTTATTCAATGTTCACGTGTTGATATAACTCTGTATGTACTGTATGTTACAAATCAAAAATGTGGAAGGACTGATCAGAAAACAAAAGCCATATTTACCTTATTACAGTGGGATAAAGCTCAGAACTGTAGAGCACAATCGTTCCAAAGGATGCAGCAGAAAACCCTTTTCCCAGGACCGACACCACTGTCCTGACAACAGACATATCTGAAAGCAGAACATCAGCAGCCCGGATGGCTTTTTATTGTTGTAGCTGTTGGTAATTCAAAAAACGTCCTTTACATATTCAGGAATAATGATGTAGGAATGAGTTTAATCTCTTATAATATACGCACAGCTTGAAAAGGCAGAATAAGCCGAATCTTTAGATCGAGGCGGTGTCCAAACTACCGGCGGCCCGGAAGGCCTAAATGCGGGCCCGCGGACCATTTGGGAATCGGCCCTCAGACAAATTAAAATAGTATAAGTGAAATATGGCCCACGCAAATGAAACTTGTCTAAGTTGTACTCTTAAATATAAATGCTAAAATATATTACCCAGTTATTTCACTGTGTTAATAGTAATTTATAGTTGGTAAACATGTTCTACACATATCACTTAGTTGATAAGAAAAAAAGCCCATAACATGCTGAAATACACCCTTCTATTTCTGCTATTATAATCAATCTGAGGTTTCGCTGTTTGTTTTAAGGGATGAGCTGCCAACACTCACAAGCATCATTTACCTACATTTGATTGATTTTGCTAACTTATAACTGAACTTATGAGGCAATATACCTCTAGTGAGTGGCCCAGCCCTTCATATATTTGTTCTATATGTGGCCCTCGGTGAAAAAAGTTTGGACACCCCTGCCTTAGATGTATGCAGGTCAGTGGTCTTCAATGAATGCCGTACCTTTAGGTATTACAATGTTAATTCCAAGACAGGCAGCAGTCATCAGCAGAGCTCCCACTTCAGTGCGTCGCCTGCCGATCTTATCCAGCAAGTAGTAAATAGCAACTTTGGCTGGGAGCTCAATGCTAGAATAGGCAAACTGAGTGAGGTAGATGTTGAGCCCGAAGCCTGTGAGGTTGAAGCTGATACCATAAAATGCAGTTGCCACGCAAAACCTAAGGAAAGAAAAGTGAGACTCATTCAATCAAATTGATAGTTTGTGTTGAATTATTTACCTTGTGTCTTTCATAAGGTATAACTGACTTTTCTAACACAAAGACATAATGTATTTTAAGAACTAAGATCGTTGAGCACAATGGCATTGGGAATACAGACCAAACTACACCAGTACGTAGAGCCAGTTTCCTTATGTTTGGTGTTCGTATCAGATCGAGGTAGGAATAGGTCCGATCTCTTTTCTCAGTCACAACAATGGTTGCTAGTGTCTGAAAGAATGCAAAGCAGCATTATTACCTCTGCAAAGTCAAAAATGACATTGAAAAATGACAGGGCCAAGACTGCAATCTAAGATCTTGTTATTTTTCTTAATTTAACCATCACATGGAATATCATAACCTCTGTGTTCAGTGTCTGAATTGAATCCTCTGTTCGGTTCATCTTGGCACATTTTTTCAAATACATCTGAGCTTCCTTCAGCTTTCCGTTGGCAATGAGCCACCTTGCAGACTCTGGCATCCACCTAAGACAAAGATGATTTATATGAATCCTTTTGTTTTACATGGCAATGAATTGTATTGCATGTTTACATGCAAAAACTAAGATGATGAAAGAAATGTATCTAATCAAGTATCTTATCTAGCCCCAGTTGGGTACAGGCACAGCACAAATGTACCGTGTACCGACAAAAGAGACGCAAAAGACACAAAAAACGAAATATCCAATTAAATTTGACTTCACTTTTTCAACCCCCAATGTTTATCTTTAAACAATGCAAATGTTAAGCAACCCAAACACTATACCTCCCGGGCTTTCTGTAGGGACTTTATATTAAACAAAAGCTGAGTTTCTGAGTCTTACCTCCAGGTGATGATGGCCAAGATTAGAGGTGAGGTTACACTCAGAATTAGCCACCGCCAATCATTCACAAAGTAAGCAATAGCTGCAAATACTGTGTTCCCAAATGTCCAGGATAAGCTATCTATCACCCCAACCAGTTTCCTGTGCTTGATGTCCACCCACTCCACACCTGCAAACATGAAATCAGGTTTTTACTCCTGCATTTGGTGGCCTAAACTTCTGAGGTGAGCTCAACATGAGAAAGAATGTAACAACAGAAGTGAAAACATGTTATTACTCAGGACTGCTGAGACAATGACGATGCCGGTGATGCAAAACCCAGTGAAGAACCTCAGCACTGCAAACATCAAGTAGGACGTAGAAAAAGCACTTGCAATAGCAAAGAGCATTCCAGACACATAGGACACCAACAGCATGATCCTTCGGCCAAACCTACGGAAAGGCAAAAAGTCTCCAATATTTAATTGAAGAAGAATTTTGTTTTAACACCTGGTAATTAGTTTAAAGCTGAATACTAAGCAGCCCAGCCAGATACCTGTCACTCAGACTTCCAAAGGTCACAGCTCCAAACATCACTCCAACAAAAAAGATTGTAGCAGTTGCTTTGTTCTTCCCTCTTTTATCACAAACCAGGTCCCACTGGAATACAAATATAGAAAGAAACCGGTTCATTCTGGTGTTTGAGGACTTGAGCTTCTCAAAAGGTTCATGGTGTTAAAACATACATCAGATTTGGTTTGATCTTCTATAACTAACAAGAAATGAAGTTCACCTGAGAGGTCAAAGTTGACTTGAAGGTGGTGTTATCGTACACCCATCCATTCTGACACGGCACTGTTGGTACTTCAATTATGTTGGAGGAGTTCAGCAGCAGATGATACTGCGGCTCTGCAAACATCTGACAGGATGCAGGAGTCCCATCCTCCTGGACTGGAATACTTACAATAAGCCTCTCTGCCTGAGATAAACTACTAAAAAATCCTCCGTCATCTAGAGAGCTGATGTCACAGTGGTGAGAGGGAACAGCCGCTACAAAGTTGTTAAGCATGAAGTGGCAGGGCAATGTGAAACGGCCGATGAAGCTGATCACAATTATCATTATCTGAAATCTTCCAAATCCATCAATGTCAGCCAGAATGTTCTCGAACTTCATTGTGGCCTCTACCTGTGTGCAAAATGCTTTAAAACAAAGAGAAAACGAATCCTCATACGCTCATGGCTTCAGACTGAAAAAGACTAAGACAAGACTACCTTTGGCTCTCTCTAACCCAGGGATTGCTGGATTTCAGTTGAAAATTGTAAATATTTGACCTCACTTAACCACTAAATAACTTTTGTCAAGTGCAAAACAAAGAATGTATGTGTTAATAATTAAAGCATGAGTCATCAATTTATAAAAATCTCTAAGAAGTACAGTAAAATGTATTTGATCTATTACAACACAAAAGCAGATAGGAATCAGGGGTAGTTTTTTTAATAGCATGTTTTAAAAATGCATACAGAATTTTTCTTATGTAAGACATACTTACATAAGTAACATAAAACATGTTACAGTTTCTTTATTTAAAATCGATAATCTTCCAATATCTAATAAAAAATGAATTAACAGAAGAAGTCTCTTCAGATGTCCGGACTGACCGCCCTGTGGAATAAAAAAATATATAATTTTCATACATTCATGTTATGACAGTTAAAAACTCAAAATTCTATTACAAAAGACTGTACCTTGTCTGTTCCACATCTTCAATGGTTTCTGGTAAACGGCTATTGTGTGTCTCTGAAAGTAAACAAGCTGACAGCCCTGCAGCAAAGGCCACCAAGGAGAAGACAATACCCGGTAGAGGGAGCCACAGTTCTTCAAGAACCATAATCAGAGGGGACACAGACACACCTGTGAGGGCCATGAAGGAGCTGTAACCCAATCCGCTTTGCCTATGTAACAAAAAAAAGAAAAAGTTATTGGCTTATTTGTGTAACTTCCTCAGATTAGGGAGACTGGGGGCACACTTTTGAAGTCAGTCCAGGGAGGGGAACTTAATTGTTAGTACTTGGTGGTTAGGTAAAGTGCATTTAAGTGAACGCAAACCTTTGGCAAAGTTGAGCATGATCCCCAACATATTTAAATCTTCACAGACAGAATGATGTCCAGTACGGTCATCTATTTTTTCCGATCATGTAGTTCTGCTACCTTCTTTAGATTTCATCTTCTAGTGTGATGGATATTGGTTGCGTTGTACAACACAAGATGGATTGTTTTCAGTTGGGAGCTAGTCAAAGTCCCAAATGAGAAAGTTCCAAGTATACTGGACATTGATACATTGATGGCAAACACTGATGGTTTATTATTAAGTTAACGGCCGGAGAACTGACAAGACATGTGCTGCAGCCACGAGGTGACCCAGCTGTGGTCAATCCAATTCTGAAGATCTCTACCCCAGACCCATGTATTTAGCTGCTTTGGAGAGAATAATTAACATTGTGCATAACACAGAGCAAAGCACCCAAGGTTGCAGGCCTGTGCTCAGTGAGGGCAGTACAAACTGATAAACTGGGTCAAAGTTATGGGCCTGGAAAAATAGTTCCCCAACATCATGAAGACCTCTCTGTGGAGGTATTTTGGGCAGGTCAGTGCAACAGATTTGGGCCATGCGTGAGGGTTTTCATAACCCAGCAGGCACTTTACAATCCCCAAGAAGAAACTTTAGGATTTGGCTGTGGAGAAGGACATATTGGCTTTGATGTTAGTCTGTTGCTACCATATCTTGCATGATCAACAGAAAATATTTGCATGAAATATTTCACTGACCTTATTACTGTAGGGCAGTGGTCACCAACCTTTTTAAGCCCAAGATCACCGACCTCGGCCTAGGTGAAAGGCGAGATCTACCTGTATTGCAGAATTGAGTGAAAAAGACGGCCCAGACAGTGCTTCCAATTTGAGGCCTTTTATATAGGCTAATTGCATCTGAATTACTGTTACAATGAAGGCTCCATAATCAGCTCACAGCATATAGGCAGGGGTAAAGTGCTATGTGCGAGTGGGGGGCGGACCTCACCTCATCTAGGGGGGTCCTCACCTCCTCTAGGTCCTCAACTCCTCTAGGGGGGTCCGGGGGAATGCTCCCCCGGGAAGATTTTTTTTTAAATATTGAAGATGAAAGCATCAATCTGGTGCACTTTGAGAGCAACATGAAGAGATCTATGGATTCATCTCTCAGCACCCATATGAGACATAACTGTAAACAGATTTTATTTTCTTATAGATATTTTACAAAT